GAGGGCGTTTGAATGGAAAATTCGAAGTTGTGTATGCGAGAGAGCGAAAACTATTCAGGAAGGAGGCTTCCACAAATTGCTGCGAGAAGCTATTTTGAGATACTCAAGAACTACATTTCCTGAAAAGCAAACAGTTTCAGGAAATAAATATTTACGTTTTGTAGCGATACGTTTCGATTTTGAAACTGTTCCTATATTAGTATCAAATTATTTCGAGAAGGTATCGAAGTTTGAAAATTATTAGATTCTTGTCGCGGTCAAAAAACTCAAATATGAAATACAGAACAAAACATTTGCACTAAAAAAATAAATTAAAATCTACACACACTTGATCGATTAACACTACGAGTCAATTCTCGGTACGTGAATTCGGGTAAAAGATACACGAAATAAGATCTTAATAGATCTTTCAAAACCCTAACAGTTGAATTCGTTTCCTGTTCCAGCGACATATTCATGTAAAGACGCGTCGTTGCTAATTCGTTGTCCCTAAGGAATCTGTTTCAATTCAACAGTTTCCATTTGATTAGGAATGCGCGGTCCAAGCCGTTCTCCGACCGCCGCCGAAGCCGGGAGCCGGCGTCGCTCTCACCTGTCACACGAGGGTGGGAGGGCCTCGCCGCCGGCACCCGCGCCGGCGGGGGCGCCGGCCACCAGCGCCGCGCAGGCGACGACGGCGGCCGCCGCCACCACCACCACACCGCTCAGCGAGTCGCAGCGCGCTACTACTCTCATGGTTCGTCGGCGGTCGACCCGACACTGCTTCCCCGCCGCGGACGCCCGTCTTGATATAGCGCGCGCCGTCGCGAACCGCCTCCATTGGCCGCCGCGCGCCGGACACGCCCCCGCCGCGCCCGCGCCGCGCTGCGCCGCGCCACGCGCTGGAGATAAGCGCAGACGGGACGCCTCGACAGCGGTACACACGCGCTTTGTTTACGGAAGATGGTCGAAACTATCCACGAATCGAAGAAAGCGCGGAAAACGTATTTAGAGTACAGATTGGTCTAATGGCTGCAGTTTCAATTTCGTAATCCGAGATGGCAAATTTTGGGTCTGGTGGACGATGGTAATTGTCTATTAATTTTGAATGTTTTTTGTTGTTTTTTTTCGGTTGGGTTTCTCCATGTGCGATTGAAATTTTAGAACTTACCCAGACCACATTTGGCCATTGTATAACTGTGCGTAAGGAGTATCAGAAGTATAGGAGGGGGGAAGTAAACCCTTGTAATACCCCCCCCTCCTACGAGGGTTACTCTTTGGGATAAAAACTATTACAGAATGTTTCGACACTATCCATCGTCTCCGAATTTCTGAGTTAACTGTTACATCTAATGACGTTTCTTAGGCCAAACGATCCGAATCCCGAAATATATTCCACTGGAGATATTGTGTATGCGCTCTTATCTCGTGGGGAAGCAGGGAATTGATTGATACCCGTTTCGATTATCAGATTGAAGCTCTTTACACGTAGAACTTAAGTACACCTCATACACACTTAGAACTGTACACATAAAACTTAAGTGCTTCTAATGTGGCAAAAACTCAGAAAAGTTTTTTTTTTCTCTCCCTTCAATTGCGAACGAAATTCCTTCCCGTAAATTTCTTTTTCAGGAGCAGTCAGCATTGGCAACACGCACAGCAACTCTTAGAAAATGCTTGATTTGATTTAATTTTACGGGAACCTTCCCTAAACTCCCGAATCCAGACCCTCCGTGAGATCCGACGTCCGAGATTCTTAAAGTGAGATGTCGCGAAGCTCTGCGAGCACTCAGCACAAGTGTTTTTTTTCTTTTTTTTCTTTTGTTTTCGTCCGGATCTTGGCCGCGAAGTTTTTGCCCGCCGGCAGGTAAGGACGAAACGTTCTTGTTCTCCGGATTTGACCTTCAATTCAATCTACTTTTAGGAGTGCAAGACCTGAGAAACTATGTATATGCAACAACAGTCCAAGTTCCCCTAAAATGGGGCTGGAGTGACCATTACACTCTGCAGTAAGTAGACCATCATGTGGGATAGCTAACTGAACGGTATATACTTTCTGTCATTAACGACGGAAGCCTTTTGTCCTGTTGGAGAAAATAAATACCATCGCTTAGTGGATGAAAATGTTCTTTTGCAATTTTATTAAAGTACGGGACGACGACACAGTTTCATCATTTTCAATGAAACTTATTTGCTGAAAAAGATAAGGTTCAATGCTAGTAATAGAATGTAGCTGAAAGGAACATATGATCTTTTCCAAAACGTTCTGATTTGTCCATCTCATTAAAAACTAGGTGAACACTGCACTTTCTGCTATTGCATGAAATGAGCCATTTAGCAGCTGACAATCCATCAGCATTGCAGGTTGGCCGCAAAACTACTTTTAGTTTCGCACCAACGCATTTCTACATTAAAAACGTCCGAACTACACGCTGTGGCCAACAAAGCGTATTTTGTGTCGTCTTTATTTGATCTTGACCTTGGCGAGGGGGCTGTAACGACTTAATTATCCACGAGACAGTTTCACAATGGCTTAATCGATTCCCAGCGCGATCCATCTGAGGTAACCTAAGTGACAACCTCGGACGATTACGAAAGTCCAGGGAGATTGTACGCCATTCTCTTGTCGCCAACTAATGTTCGCAACTTCTGTTTACACCTCCTGCTACTACGCTGCGTCATTTTCTCATCAGTTCATCCTGAGGAAACTTGCATCTTTGGAACGCTTTTCCCAAGAAAACTGCATAGAAACATGGTTTATTTGAAATGTTACGCAAACATTAACTCTTCAAGAAATTTTAGAAGAATGTACATATTACAAATATGAAATTTTAGGAGAATACACATACTACATATTTACTTTCGTCTCGCGTTGTGCTTCAAGCTATTTTGACAAGCACATTGAAGCAGTTTTCTCGTTGTAAAGAAAACTGAGCAGACTGCCACTGCTGTCTAAAACTTAATTAATTTCGAATTAATGACATTCCAAGTCTTGAATAAGCGTCTCATTCTCCAGAGAAACTTAAAGTTTCACTTTATCCTATCCCAACGCTTTATTTCCTACATCTAGAGCACGTGAATCTGTCCTGTTCAATCCGCAGCATGCCTCTGAAGCTTTGACCTCAGTACTACTCAATTGACCGGAGGACCTTTGGACATGAACGCCTGCTGGATTCCTGCCAGCTATTGGAAGATCTCGTTGCTACGAGGCACATGTCTAATACTCCCGAAGGAGATCAAGTATTTGAACATTTTTTCACCTTTAAAGGCTTGCAGATTCACCCATTATAAAGGACAGCATTAATAATTGGCGCGTTCTATGTGGTCCGGCCACCCCTCCTGTGAAATACTAGTACACATAAAGGGGTTGAGATTAGATGGGTTTGTTTGGGATGCTACCATTTGTATGCTCAACATTTCCAGCTTTCGCATCTGTAAATAGTATTAAATTTTGACAACAAACGATAGAATAGGAATTCTTTGCTATGGATTCTTTATGTATAGTTGTAGGAAATATAGTAGTGTGGACATATCCACAGTTTACCTTTTTACTCAATTTCAGTGTGGGACTTGAGTTTTCTGTTAGAGTTCTTGATATGATTTGCCCAATGCTTTTGAAGAACGACTTGTCCTATTTTAAAGTATGGCTTCATGTTATTCATTTAGCCACTGTTAATAAGATAAGTTTTTTCGGAAGAACGTGTGTGTGTGTGGGGTCACAAAGAAAAGAAATTAAGTCTACAAAAATGATTGTTTTAAGGAAATCTGAACTGTATTCTATGTAGGTTTATTACTGCTTTTCATTGCATTACTTACTTAACTGAATAATTTCAGTTGTTTAAAATAAATATTGAAATATAAAACATGGAAATACCTCCCATACCTTCATTAAATCAAAATAATTTGTACAAAGGTATCGATATCTTCATTCAACCAGTGTATTTTTTTATGATAACATTAAGTAGAGTAATTGATAAGATCACACCAACCACGTCTTCAGAAGAAGGCAGTTCAAATACGCAAGAAGCCAGCCGTACTCAATCTGATGATTCAAATCGCGTTTCTGTGAAGTGCGCAATAAATAAATCCGAATGAATATTAGCAAATAGTTACAATAATTTTTCTCCTAAATGATTTGCAAACTTTATTCTTAGCCGCAAATACAATGTTGAGATACCTGAAGTGGGGACCTTATCGAGCCTATTTAGACCATATCGAAACTACTGGTAATAGTGTTTGCACTGAAATATTAGGAGTTCGTTTTTCTCTCCGGAATGAAATCTGTGTTGAGCGTCCGAAAAAAAGTCGGCCAACTTTGGTTGCTAAACGGCAAGGCATTACATTTCATTATTTCAAGAAATTAAGGTTTAATTAAATTTTGTTAATCTATCTCTCGAAGAGTTTAAAGAGACATCATTTGGAATTTTTAAGGAACCGTCGACACAATGAAATAATATTTTACGCTGTTGCATTTTTTGAAGTTCTTGGAACAATCGTATACTGGAATTCACTTCCAAAGATCTGGATTATCACTTAAATGTACGGATAAATAAAGTAATGTTAATTCTCTCTTTTACGACTTCCTTTCAATTCCGTTTGGAAGAAACGCGCTGGCTCTTGCAAATAAACCAAGATTCTGCCCTCCTGTCATCAAGCTCCCGACCCGCAGGTGAAGTGATTTCGCTTGAAACTTGGGTGGCGAGTCTCGAGAGCAGCGAAGTGTATCGGAGGGGAAGGGAAGAGGATGGGAGTGGACTTTTTTGAGCGTCACCTCAAGGAGGCTCTGGGTTACGCGGATCCACAGCTACTCGTTGGCGCACTGTCGCATTGCATGGAGACGCGCTCGACAACCTCTTGTCATCATCTTCCTTTTCACACGGTTTCCCAGGCATTTTTGACTGGCGACTGGAATATCTCGTTTCCTGCCCTGGGTTGTGTGCGGCAGAGTCCTTGTGTCGGATTCCTATCTGAGCAGCCATGGAATATAACAGCGCGAATCGTACCCGCTAATCGAGTTCTTTACAGGCTTCAATACCCTTCAAGTTATCGCTCGAGTGAAACAATAGGAAGGAAGTGAAAACTACAATTTGTAGTCTCGATCCCACTTCGACGTTTTTTCGAGGCTCAGTATATCGGCTGGGTTATTAGGATAGTTGTTAAAACTTTAAGGGATTACTAAGAAGCCGACAAGCTAATCGGTATTGGAATTTTTTAATGATATTGGCATTGTCTATTTTTCTATTTTGTTTCTTTTTTATCTCTTGGTGAGGAAACGACGTTCGATGTTTCAGAGCGTTTGACGGCTTGCATACAAGGTTTCACCTCATAAACATTCACGAGAACCAGTAAGATATGCATTTCCGTTTCTGCCCCCCCTCCCCCTCCCCCAAGCCCCTTCTGGTGCGCGCGTGCGATAGACGCCGGTCGACACCGCGAAACTCTTGCGTCGTGGTGAGGTTTGCGTACGTGAGGCGGCGGTGCGCGCTCGGTGCCTGGGGAAAGATGGGTTAGGGCAGGGGTGTCCAACTTGCAAGGCCTCAAGGGCCACAACTAAAACTTTAATAAAAGTTGCGGGCCATATTTTGATTACTCGGCGAACCACACCTGACCTCCGTGTATTTGCTGAGCTCGGCACTTTGCCCGGCAGCTCTGAAACGGGGGGGGGGGCATGCATGCTATCAGACCCTGCATAACGCAGTGAAACAAATTGGGATGATTTTGAATTTCTGAATTTACTAGAAAAAATTCATTAAATCAAAACAACTTATTTTACATTAAGTGAGT